TGGCCCTCCTCTGGACCCTCTCCATGTTGTCCACATCCTTCCTGAAGTGCAGCACCCAGAACTGGATGCCAGCTGTGGCCTCACCAGTGCCACATAGAGGGGGGAGTATCACCTCCTTGGACCTGCTCGTGATGCATCTGTGGATGCATGACAAGATCTGGTTAGCCTTTCTGACTGCATCCCCACATTGGTGGCCCATGTTCATCTTTGAGTCAATAATGACTCCACAATCCTTTTCTGCCTGTGCTGGTGAGAGGGGAGTTCCCCCGCCTGTAGATATGCTGCTGGTTTTTCCTCCCTAGGAGCAGCACCTTGCACTTGTCAATGTAGAAACCCATCCTATTCTTATCCGCCCACCTCTGTAACCTGTCCAGATCTGATTGCAGCTTGTCCCTCCCCTCTAGCATGCCTATCTCCCCCCACATCTTAGTGTCATCTGTGAATTTGAACAAGGTGCTATTCACCCCCTCGTCCAAGTAGCTGATGAAGATGTTGAACAGTGTGGGCCTGAGGACTGAAACCTGGGGGACCCCACTGCTCACATCCCTCCAGGTTGAATAAGACCCGTCCACCACCACTCGCTGGGTATGGCCCTCCAACCAATTGGCGACCCATCTGACTGTGTAGGGATCAACACCACAGTTGCCTAATTTTTTAATGAGAATGGGGTGAGAGAGTGTCGAATGCTTTTCTAAAGTCCAGAAAGACTATGTCCACCACGACGCCTGCATCCAAGGATTTAGTGACCTGATCATAGAAGGCCACCAGGTTGGTCTGACAGGACCTGCCTCTGATGAACCCGTGTTGATTGCCCCTAAGCATACACTCCCCTGCTAGTCCCTCGCAGATGTGCTCCTGGATAATTCTCTCAAAGAGCTTCCCCAGGACCAAGGTAAGACTAACAAGTCTATAGTTTCCTGGGTCCTCCCTCCTCCCTTTTTTTGAAAATGAGAACCACATTGGCCCTCTTCCAGTCCTTTGGCACCTCACCAGAGAACCATGAGTGCTCGTAAAGCCATGCCAGGGGACTCACAATGACCTCTGCTAATTCTCTCAGCACTCTGGGGTACAGACTGTCAGGACCTGAGATCAGGGTGTGGGGGGCAGGCCTGGTCATCTGGTTACGAAAATGGATATCCAATAGCAAGTAGCTATGATGATAAAGTGCTCTCTAAAAGCCAAACTATCTCAATTTATTTTAAAATATGTGAGGTCCAGTACTTCAGACTCTAGACTGTTTTCCCAAGTCAGTTCCATGTCGCATCCAATATTAGGTAAAGTCACCTTTGTTAATCATTATGTAAAAAATACTGTATTTACTCAAATCCAAGATGAGGGTTTCTCCCCAACCTAATGTAGGGGGAAAGCCTCCTCTTAGATTCAAATACCAACCCAAGGCAGGCAACAGCTC